TTGGAGGAGCAGCAATTCCTCCAGGGGTGTCGTGCCACCTCCCACCGGAGCTCCTGGTAATGCCCAGAGGTCCGAGGTGACCGTGAGGAGCCGGCGCTGTGTAGCCCTCCTCACCAGCCCCTTCTTTGCAGGCATGGCTGCCGGACGGTCATTGCGAGCCGGAACCTGCAGCGAGTGTCGGAGGTGAGTCTGTGGGCTCCGGCAGAACAGGCAGGCAGAAGGGAGAGCTGTGAACGCCTGGAGATCCTTCTCCCCTCTCCTCTGGGTGGAACTGGGAGCCCTGGGAGCAGGGCAACAGCAGAAGTGGCTTACCCCTGCTGCCCTGTCTTCTCCCCGCTCTAAGCACATCATAACCAGCAGGCAGCAGTGACAGGCAGGACGGGTGTGGGTTTAGGGTGGGCTGCACCCCCCACATCTTACGGGAGAGCTCAGTTCATTGTGGAACTTGCAGCCTTCCCCTGCCAGCTTTGGGGGTGTCTGTTCCAGGTATCATGTTGCCTTTTTGTTGATAAGACAGAAAGAAACAAACTGCGGTGAAGGTTTGTCCGCAGGGAAGTGGCAGAGCCCAGGGTCAAACTTAAATTTCAGCTTCGAGTAGGACAAGACTCCCTTGTCCAAGGGTTCGGTTGGTTCAGGTGGGTACACTGAGCCCCAAAAACTCCGTTATCTTGTGTTTTGAGATGGAGGGGAGGTTGTAGGTCTGGAAAGTAGTGTCTGAAGAAGCTGTATGAGACTAGCTATCCTGTGGATGGCTGGGCAGAACAAACACCCACCCCTGCGTGTCTGACCCCAGGCTGGACTTTGGCTGGTCTCAGTTGCCATTCCTCGCCGTGGCTTGTGCTGCGGTCTCAGGCTGAAAGCGACCGTGAGAGAGCTTTGTGGTAGCTCTGTGTGGACTTCACTAAAATATAATAAAGATCAAAACCAGTGCTTGGGAGTGAGCTGGCATGACCCAGCTGCCTCCCGGAGGTGGTTAATGCAGTCCTTTCACATTCCCTCATGCTCACACGTCAGAAAACAAGCTGCAAAGCTCAGCAGCTTTTTAGTCCTCAGGCACTGGAGTCTTCTGAGTACACAGGGACTGCTTGCCCAGGCTCTTGACGCTCGGTGTATGCGTGTGCTAGTTGGGGCTCAGAGCTTCTCACAGAAGGGCCCGATGAGCCTGAGCCGGAACGTGGAGTGTTGCTGGGTGTTGTGCAGGGTTGCTGCTGAGTTTGCGCGTCCCCTATGCTTGATTTGCTGGGGGAAGTCGTGTTGTTAATGAGCACCTCAGGGGTGGTTTGTGGCAGACGCTGAACGACAGAGCTGGCCCGCTCTGCCTCCTGGGCAGAGACCTTGGCAACTGCTGGTCTGCGTTTGCCCTTTTGCCTACTGATCTTTTTTATATCTAAAGGTTAATTATGTCTGGGCTCATGCCAAAAATGCCTTTTTGGGATCCAACCTTTGTTATTGCCCTGCAGAGGTCTTGCTCGGGATGTGCTGTGTTGATGACAGACCTCGGAGATAATTGGGCTTAGCAAGTTGTGGCCTCAGGGCCAGCCTGGTGTTCGAGTGGGACACAGCGTGCAGGAGCTTTCCCTGGGTACCCCAGGGCTTTAGCTGCGGGGTGCTGCCGGGCTGAGGCTGGCCGTGTGTAGGCAGGTCTCTCCCCTGCCCGCAGCGTTTGCCGTGTGCTGACACGGACACGGCTTCTGCCTGACTTCGTGCTCACCTGTTATGAGGTCCGGGTCTAAGCCTTGCTGAAGAAGAGAGTCTCAGAAAGAATCTCAAATCTCTTTTTTTTTTTTTTTTGTTTGTTTGTTTGCAGGCCTCGAAAAAGTTGATGGCAGCCACAGGCCAACAGTGCCTGCCTCTGTCCGTAGATGTCAGGCAGCCCCAAACCATTGTGGCAGCGGTGGATGAGGCGCTGAAAGAGTTCAAGCGGATTGATGTCCTCATTAATGGTGAGCTGCTGGAGTGGGCAGGGGGAAGATGTAGTACAAACTCGCTGCTAGGAAGGGCATTTTCCTGCGTGGAGGTTGTGTTTGGCTTATCCTGCTTGGGTCTGGGGGCATCTGCGCAGCCCCTGGGAGCACAGAGGGGATGGGCTCAGGGGAAGCAGAGACCCGTTTGTGATACGTGGCCATCTGTGCTTCCCTGGATGTGGATCATCCCTGCTCCCACTGCACCAGCACCCTCCTGCCCTCAGGCTGGCCATGCTGCTGGACAACGCAGAGCCGCAAGCTGTTTGTCCCCTTATCAGGGCTGTTTCCACGTGCTCTCCAGTCTACCCAAACAGTATCGCTCACCATCCCTCTCACCGAAGTGCCCTGAACCTGCCTGATCTCTCCTGACCCAGTCCTGACTCTGCCCCCGGCTGTTTGTTCTTCAGGTGCTGCAGGAAACTTTCTGTGCCCAGCCAGTGCCCTGTCCTTCAATGCCTTCAAGACAGTGATAGATATCGACACCATTGGCACCTTCAACACCTCCAAAGTCCTCTTTGAGAAATATTTCCGGGTAAGTGGAACCAGAGCCAGGGGCCTTGGTGGAGAGAGGCTCCTGGTAGGCAGCGGGTTAGTGTCAAACAAACCACACTTTGCTCCTTGGAAATTCAGGGAAGTGGGGAGGGCGGAAGGGAGCACGGCACCCGTGTGCACAGGGCTGTGCTGCCGGGCTTCTGCTACCCACCCTGCTCTGATCCAGTCCGTTCCCTCCCAGGGATCCAGCCCCTGTGCAGGAACTGGGAATCCTGCCTGTCCCTAGCCCTGGGGCTTTGTCACTGTTGTGGCACCTTTTCATGCCGCCTGCTGAGGAAGAAGCTGTGATCTGCTCCTCCTTTTTCAGCTCCCCTGCTTTCCCTTGGCCTTTGCTTGTCCCCTGCACCTCCCACCTTTCTGAAAGGGCCCTGCTGGCTGCCTCGGCTCAGTGAGGCCGGGTGGGCAGTGCTGCTCCGGTGATGGGTTAGCCACACAGAGGTGGCAGTGCCCACAGGTGACCGTCCCTCCTAGCCCAGCTCTCTTATCCCACCACTCCCCTACGTGACTCTGTGCTGCTCCCTGCCTAACACCACCTCTCCTTTCCTTCCCCAGGACCACGGTGGGGTCATCGTTAACATCACAGCAACCCTGAGCTACCGAGGGCAGGCCCTCCAGGTGCATGCTGGTACTGCTAAGGCTGCCATAGGTACCTAAACGCTCCTTGCTGGGGCTCTCTGAGTGGTGCGGGGCCAGTAAGGAAGACGGTTCTTCCCGAATATTGGGATGGGAAGATGTCCTTGGGAGAGGTGAATATGAATCAGTGTGGTTACTACATGCCTGTGTTTGAGAAGAGGCTCTTCTAGGGCCCTTTGTTCTTGGCCAGAGTCTTCTGTGGCTTTTGGGCCCCCGCAAAAGTTACTGGAATGGCTCTGCTCTCCATTTCTCATTCCTGTTGTAATCCCTTCCCAGATGCCATGACCCGTCACCTTGCTGTGGAGTGGGGACCCAACAACATCAGAGTGAACAGTTTGGCGCCGGGCCCCATTACAGGCACTGAGGGCTACCGGCGGCTGGGTAAGGCAACCTGGGGCTCCTGTCTCTGCCTCGGTGGTGGCTTGCTGGCATCTGTCTGCGAGGGGACTGTGATGGACCACTAGTGCCAGGCAGCTTGTGGGGCCTGTGGTGCGGTCGGGGCCATTGCTGCTGGGCACAGCTGTCCTGCGACTCGGCTGGTGTGGTTTTTTGGGGGAGCAGCCCTTCCTGCAACCTCGGTACCTTGCAGGGTGCTGACTTTTCTCTGTCAAGTGGCAGCTTTTTGTGTTCTCTGACCCTGTGACGTAATGTGATCCTGCAAAGCTCATCCTGCCCACCTGCCTTACCTGGTAGTCCATCAGCAGAGTGCCAGTTCAGCCCTGGAGGCTGGGAGAGCTCTCTGAGGTCTTGTCTTGAACTCTTGCAGTACAAATCCTACGGCTGGGCTTGAGCTCTCCTCCTTTAACTCTCTTCTCAGGCCTTTGTCCCTGGGCTGTCCCCAGGGCTGTGCCAGAATCTCATCTGGGTTCCCTGAGGCTCTCAGCAAGCCCCATGCAAGCCGTGCTGCGGTGTCTGGCAGGCAGTGGTGGTGGGCAGGTGATCCCATGGTCCTAGCTGACTTTTTCTTCTACCACTCAGGTGGGAAATTTGCTGAGGAAGCAAGCCAGTTCGACATGATCCCCCTCCAGCGCGCAGGGAACAAGACAGAGATCGCCCACAGCACGCTGTACCTGGCGAGCCCCCTCTCCTCCTACGTGACGGGCACTACCCTGGTTGTGGATGGTGGGAGCTGGCTGACCTCTGCCAACAATTTTCCCGCCTTGCTGGGTATTGCTTCATCCTCTGCTAAACTCTAGGTGACGTGCATTTCCCCCTCCGTGGGATTAGAGCAGGGCTGGTGGCAGAAACCCTATTGCCCCACGGTATAGGGGCACGGCTGCCGTAGCCGTGGGTATGGCAAGTGCCTCGGTCATCTTGTACCAGTACCGGGCTCTCCCGCTCCTTGGGGCAGCTGCCTGGCACATACTGTGCTGGGGGAGAGGGGGCAGGTGCTGGGTGTGGGGGTCTCCAGGTGAGAGCAGCTAGCCCAGGTCTTGATTTGGCAGCTGTTGTTCTCTAACCTTCCTCTGCTTTTGGGGAGGTGGAGCAGGGTCAGCCCCCGTGCTGTTGTCGGAGCAATGTGGGGAACATCTCTGAGTCCTCATGGATGGTTCTAGGGATGACTTGGGAAGGGCAGGAGAACTTGCTGGATTTTTCCTCTGAGCCTGCAGTTGACATGGTATCTCTCATCGTTCCTGTCGGAGGGTGCTTGTTTGGACACCTCTGAGTGTCCCCTGAAGCGGCGTGATGCCCCTTTTCAGTGCCCTACCAGCAGGATTGGGCACAGAGAGTCCTGACAGCCTCTGCCTCCCCTTTCTTCCTTGCATGAGTTACTGCAGCGTGTCTTGTGTTGCAGCTGAATTGCAGGCAGGACTCGTGTTGGCTGCGTATGTCTGCAGAGGTGGGAAGGGAGCTGGTTACTGGGGCCTGGTGCTTTCTGGGAGAGGGGTCTCCTTTCTTCCTCTCTCCCCTTGCTTGGGTCCTGCCTGGCAGCCTCCGTGAGCAGGGCAGGCCCAGGCAGGACTGTGTACCCACCTCCGTGCTGTCTTGCAGATTTCTGGGGTGCAGGAGCAAACAAAAATCAATGATGGACAGCCTGGGATTGACCGATGGACAGAAATGTGACCGAACACTGCTGCTCTGTGACATCTCGGGTGACATCTCCCAGAGTCGGAGCCGATAGCTTGCGGTGGGTGGTGGTGGTGGTGATGCTGCCGATCCCGTGTCTGCCTGGGGGAGGGAGCACCGGGGGTGCTGGGTGGGGAGCAAGCCCACCCCTGATCTGTGCCGTTACTTTCTTTGGAGCTGGCTGAGGGCGCGGGATGTGCGGGCTGTGATGTTCACTGTCCATTGGTGTCTCCCTCCGAGTTGCTCTCCTGGCCTTTCCTGAGTCCCAAGCAGTGCCGCCTGTGGATATCCGTCCTCTTCCTCCCTTCTCCCCCATCTCTGCCTGAGAGCTGCCCAAGACCCCCAGCGGCAGCTCCTTTTTGGGAGGGGGGAGTCATTCAGCCCATCTGGGCTTGAGATCAGCCTTCATGCTCTGGCTTGGCAGCAGTAGCTGGCGGCTCTTGGAGGGGAAAGAAGGACCAAGGTGGCCCCTGCCAGGGGGAAGTGGTCCCGTCCCTTCTGGGGGTGGTTCCTGGATGGGGCAGTGGTCCCAAAGGCTGGTGCAGATGGAGCTGGGATGTCCCTCTCCCAGGAGCAGAAGTGACGTGAGGTCAGATCCCACCAGAGCTGGCTCTGCGCTGCTGTGGACCGTAGCACTGTATCTCTTGGGAGCCCAAGATGTCCAGTTGTCTGTCCGGCACCCATCTGTCTGTCACACCAGTCTTACGCTGTCTCCTTTCTTCGTACAGACGCTACAGCTGAGGGTAAATCAAGGGCTAGCTGAGATTCAGTCCTTTCTGAGCAAGGCACTGAGCTGACGAGCTGCAGGGGAGCCAAACATGTCCCCAGTGCCAGCGCCTCAGGGGACACACGCTGCTCGCGTGCAGCGGCCTCCTGCTGCTGACGGCAGTTTTTAAACTGATCTTGAATTCCGTGAAGCTTGTTTTCCTGCTTGATTGCATTTTCTACTTGATTGTAGACTTGCCAGGTTTTGCTCCTTCCTCCAGGCCATGAATAAAGAACTTCCACCCTGAGCTGCCACGCTTCTCCTCCGTTTGCCTCTCCTCAAGGGTGGGTTGATCCTGCAGCTGGGAGCTCCGGGAGGTTTCCTTGTGCTCCTTGTCCCCTTGTGAGCTGGCAGTGGCAGGAGCTTTAGGAGGCTGTGTCACGTCTTTGGTCAGAGCATCGCTGTGGCAGCTTGCTGCTGCACGAGCACAGCCAGCGCCCTGCTGTGCTGACTGGTCCTGGTGGTCCAGCTCGGGCCCTGAGGGAGGATGGAAAACCACTGCTCCCAGTAGCAGAGCCTTGTGCAGCCCCAGTCCTTGGTGGGTGTTGTGTCCCAGCAGTGCTTTGGGGACCTGCCACCTCCTCGGGCCCAGCTGGCTCTGGGGAGAGGGTTCCAGCAGGCGTTGGGTCCATCTGCAGGGGTGATGGAGAGGTGCTGAGGGACTCGGAGAGAGACACGCCGACCCTTTCGGAGGGGATGGGGATGTGGTGCTTGGATGGGGGTCTGGGCGTTGTCCTTTGCCTGGGTCTCTCGGATTTACCTCCAGCCTCAATGTCCCTCTTTCCAGATAGCAGGACAAGGATTTTCTCCCGGAGAAGGTCCTTGGGTAATGTTTGTTGGGGCTGTCTTCTGCTCTCCAACCTGCATCCCTTACTCTGGGAGGGTCCACATATTTACCTGCGTCTTGTTTAACCACGACCAAGTGAGTTGGGGACAGTCCCTGCATGGTGCAACAGCCGTGGTCCCTCCCAGAAGCTTAGCTTTAGCTGGAAGCCCCTCGGTGAGTACGTGGGGGACACGGAGACACGCCACGGGCTCCAAGGGGGAATCTGTGCTGTGACGTGCTGACCTCGGGCTGGGGTGACATGGAGCAGAGGTGGAAGGAGAGCCCTGTGCCCATGGGGAGCAAATGAGAGCTTGCCACCCTCCCTGCAGCATGAAAAGATGCATGGAGGAAGGGTGCTGTGGGAGAGGTGGTCCCAGAGCTGTTGCCAAGCCCGGGCTGTGCCACGCTGCTCCGGGCTCGGTGCTGAGCTGGGCTTCTGGCCCGGCTGGCATGGATGCCGCCCTGTATGGTGAGGACGGAGCCAGGCGGAGCTGCCTGCATTGCCTGCCCGTGTGTGGAAACCTCTGTGGTGGCCACAGCCTGAGCAGAGGCTGGGGGGGTCGGAAGCAGGGAGAGCTCCCGTGTGGGGGCTCGGGGTTTTCCTGGCTCCGTGGCCACCACAGGCAGGGGGAAGGCCACCGGGCAGCAGCCTGGCCGTGTGCCTCCAGCTCCGGGGGATGGAAGGAGCTCTGGGCCTGGCCTTGATGGTGTCCTGGAGTTGCAGAAACCCATCGGGGGGTGCAAAGCTGCAGCTCGCAGCGTCAGGCTTGCCCCCCCCGCCCTGCCGGCCCGCTATCCCCCTGGGCAGCGGGGACTGCTTGCAGGCAAG